GTCATACTGCCTCGGTCATCAGGGCGATGAGTATGAAGATTTCCGTCTTCTGGGTTGTTGCGCTGTGTAGTCTGGTCGGTGTTAACCAACATTTCAGAGGTCATACTGCCTCCGTCATCGCCCTGATGACAGAGGCAGTATGACCTCTGAAACGTTGGTTAACATCGACCAGACTACACAGCGCAACAACCCAGAAGATGGAAATCGTCTTATCAGTTGTAGTTTGTTGACTCTGCTTAGAATGTTTGAAGTTTGAAGAGTGATAGTAGAATTGCATGGTTACATACATTGTGAAGCCATTTTTTTTGTTTCCTGGACACTAATAAAAAATTTGTGTGTGTTTCAGGCTGCATTGCTTATGGAAACAAAATTCAGCTTTCCAGTTCGATTCCCGTTCAATCCATCGAATATTCGTCTGGAAGACATTGAAATCCCAGAGTGTTTGAACCTTCCTATGCTGAAGAAAGTTTAGAAGGGAAGTAATTATAGTAATACTAGTGAAGATAAAGTTTATATTTTGCTATCCGGTCACATCCTCATGTGTCTTCAGTCAGCAATACATGGTCTTTGTCTTCAGTAAGTCAGAGAATAGGCAGCCATAGTATATTATTAATAATACAATAACATTCCAGCTGTGCCATTCCATGTTTAAATGCATATAAATAATATATATATATATATATATATAATACAATGATAGGCCTTGTTTTAAATTAATGTGCATTTGTTGATATATTTACATGTTAACAGATGCACGCACAACTTCACTGAACTTTTGTTCTGTGACAACCACATTATAATTTGATGCTACTATTAGTTTAATTATACATTATTTTTGGGTAAGTTGTAGGAAAATAATTGCTACAAAATTTCTGTTTGTGATAAAAGTGTGTGTTAATGTTGCAAAAAAAAAAAAAAAGGCAGGTTACATCTCTGATTAGTTTTCTGTACTGAGTATATCTTGTAGTGAAAATATTTTGAATCTGAAAATCTGTTTAGCAGCTTAAAGCTGAAGAGCTTTTGCCATTCATGCGGGGTTACAGGAACCGGGTCAAGCGTTCTTGCCGAGTGACCAGAGATCCTTGTGAGTGGCACAGCTTCTACACTACGGTTCTGCCGTTTCCTCACGCTTGTATCCTCCTTATCTCTGTACCCAATCATGTTTATGTCATATTCATTCTTCTTCTTATTATTCTTCTATGGCTCTCCGGTCCGTATTCGGTCCACGGCCTCCTCAATTCTCCTCTTCCATTCGGTCCTCTGTTAGGTCCGTCTATCCGAGGCTTTGATTGAGGTTTCGAAACATCTTCCTTTTTACGGTGCAAGATTGTTAGCCTTGCGACCAACCCCCAACCTGGAGGACCAGGGTACCTCTCCCCCTCGAACCAATCTGGCTAGGGAGGCCCTATCAGTAGCTATGGTACCGCCAGCATAGCTCTTGAGGTCACTGAGGTAGTCGGCCCCACCACCACAACAAGGTGCAGGTACTATTAAGTGGGGCATATTCATTCTGTTATTGATTAAATCTCGAGTTTGGATGTTCATTACATTGTATGTCGCGATAGGAACAATACCTGACCTAACCTAAGATAACCTAACCTACTTGATGCCTTCTCTCATTGACATGCATTATTCTGCAACTATTAGGTTTGCATGAATGAGGAACCATGCTTTTTTTCGTAGTTAGTATCTTAAGCTTTTAATTTTAAACCTTGGTATAAGTTATTTATAAAGTCAATGTACAAATCTAAACTTTATATTTCACTGCATTTATAATACCTGTAGATAGAAACATAGTTGCATGGCTAATAAAGGAACGGGTGTTAACGTTCAGTGCATTAATTACGTTTCAGGTACTGTTGTTTCTCTTGTTTCTGTGGTGTGCGCTGTCTCTCATGCTTCTTTCTCCGGGACGTGTTTTAGTGGTAGTCTTGTCAATGTTGCATGTCGGGGAATCTTGTGTTATCATTAATTTTGTTACGTGCTGCCTGTGATAAGATATTTTCCTAGGAATGTGAATCGACATCGCGTCAGAATTTCTTTGGTTAATGCACTGAGACATAAATCATAGCAGCGAATTGCCAAATGAAACTTTATGAATGCTGTAGATCACATCAGAACTTTTGCCTTCTGAACTGTCTGTTTTATTCTTTCTGTTGTCGATAATATGCGCCGTGTTTCAAATTATTCTCGTGTTTTGGACGTGATCGTCGTAATTATAATTTTAATACTCGTCTGTCTCCGTCTTCCCACAGCTTCTGTTCTTTATCTTCTCATGTTCTTTATTTCTTCTTTCCGTATGTGTGACAACTTTCCTAAACTGTTATTTCTGCCTTGACCTCTTGAATTTTCCTTTCGCTGTTAAAAATCTAATTTCTGTCGCCATTATTTGCTTAGTCCCTTTCAACATTTCTGCTCCGTGTATTAATATGGACATGTAGCAACTTTTAAATAGGCATATTTTTTTCCTTAAGCATTGTCCGTGTCCAGAGAATGTCCCTCGTTAGTTGGTAAAATTTTCCTTTTAGTTATTTTTATCAGTTTTTTTTAATTTCATGATTGTTACTGTACTGCAAAACCATTGCTAATGACTGTCAAAATTCAGATTCACACACATTAATGACATTCAAAATTTTTATATTTTATATTTTTATTCTCAATGTTTCAAGGATTGTAGGCACAAAAATGAGAATAAGAGTTATGGCACTTTGGTTAAGGCAGTGGAATAATTTATTTATTTTGGGAGTGAAATAAATTCAAAACTATAGAAAAATACAAAATTGTTGAAAATTTTATCAAGTTACGAAAATAATAATATAATAACAGACATTTCAAAGCAGTGCTTGAAAATTGTATTTTAAACCAGTTTTTGACATTTACTGTTGATATGTGGACCCTTACAAAGAGAAATGAAAGCAGAATCCAAGAATTAGTTATGAAATTTTTGAGAAATGTTGAGGGAAGAAACGAGAACAAATAAAATTAGAAATTAAATTTTTAGAGCAGTTGGAACCAAAAATTTTTTTTTAGTAGTGTTGGTAGCGAACGGACTACAATGGTTTGGACATTTAAAAAGAACGAGTGCAACAATGATACTGGGAATTTTGTCGAAATTAAAATTTGAAAAGAAATAGACGAGTCGGGTAATCCGGGACCTCGAGAAGAGAAGGAGGTTGTGGGAGAATACAAGTGATCGGGGACTTTTGTCCATCATCCAATATAAAACAGATGGTAGACGGCGACTTTCATAACTACGTTCGAAGCATTCGCGTTTCCAGTCTTGTATGCGTGTCATTTGTTTAAATTCAAAATTAAAGAGAAAAATTTGAACATTCCGTATATTATATGCGTCTTTGTATAGTTGAAGTTTACCACAGAATTCTGAAATTTTGTAGCTTTTTTTTTTCAAACTATTACCAATTTTCCACACCTTAAATCACGTCTTTATATTTTTCTGACAATCGTGTAATCTTTCCTTATTATTTTTTTTTTGTGTTCTGTTCCTGTGTGGGTTAGTGGGGTGGAGTACGTTACAACAATCACATTCCGTAGTTACGTACCGAATATTTTGTTATATATTTTTGGATTTTTTTTATGACTACAAACTTTTTAATTTACATTAATTTATGGATTTTTATTTATGTGTAAAGCTACAATATAATTTAGTTTTCTTACGAATTAAATGTGAAGCTTAATTAGCAGAGCGCTTAGTGAGCGCCACTTACGAACGCTTTGGTATTCGTTATACTTAATAACTGAAACAGAGTTACTGCAGTTATTACGTTTGGTAAAACCGAATCAAACGCTGCCTGACCTTCGTGTTATTTTAGACGGTGCTAAATATTATAGACAATTCACATGCCTTCACTCGCCCGTAAACAAATGCGTTAGGATTTGAAATGCTTTGAAACTGTTGTAAATCTGTTCCGATTTATTTCCATATGTGTTGTATAAAATGTATAAATGTGAAGATTTCCGTCTTCTGGGTTGTTGCGCCGCGTAGTCTGGTCGATGTTAACCAACGTTTCAGAGGTCATACCGCCTCCGTCATCAGGGCGACGACCCAGAAGACAGAAATCTGTTTATGTTTGTTAAGCCACCAGTGAGATAATTTGAGGCTCTAATCTTTGAAATGTTGTCATCCTCTGTGCTCGATATGAGACTCACAAAAGTAATTTGTTTTTTTGGGAAGTGGGGCAGAGCAGTATTTAACTGGAAGTGTACTTTGGACTGCGTCATAGTAGGATTCATGTGTTCTGGCAACATTCAAAAATGTAAATAAGATGAATGTCAAATGGGATGTCGCGCTACGTAGTCCTCTCGATACAGGGAACACGGTTCAAGTGCTGCTCAATTTGTGTACAGTGTAAGTAAATTAAATGTGCATCCCGTTTGGAAAATTTTAACACATTTAGCCAAAAATTCTACAATTAAAGCAATAGATTTATTTTTTTCTCAATTTTGGAAAAAAATATTTCAGTACTTTTTTTTTTAAATAAGATGTTGCTTTAACCTTTATCATACGGGGATACTCAGGTTTAACAGTGGTGACACAGTTGGCTGGACTGCACGTAAGCCGCGATGCAAGGCCAACGAAAGATGATTATTGGCCTTGTACGACTATGTGTTGCATTGTAGTCGTTAGCAATTTTGCTTCGTATTAGGGTGGTCCAAGTTTCGTCCTGTGGTATCCTTATTACCTAAGTTTGCTTTTATTCTGGGTTGTTGCGCTGTGTAGTCTGGTCGATATTAACCAACGTTTCAGAGGTCATTCTGTCATACTCCGTCAGTATGACCTCCGAAACGTTGGTTAACATCGACCAGACTACACAGCGCGACAACCCAGAAGACAGAAATCTTCATTCTCACCACCGTGAAAACCTCAAATCCTACATAGTTTTTATTTTTCCTTCGTCTTTCCAAACTGATTCTGGCACAGTTCTTTAACAAAGACTACGAGTTCTTCGTTCGTTATTATTTCCAATTTGTAATAAAGTAATCTCATGCTACGTGATCAAACAGTTGATAAAATACCGTCTCTTGAAAGGTATTTACCGGTACAAAAATGTTTTAGCCAAAATTTTTGTAGCGATCGGTAAAAAAGGACGTTGCTGTTTTAAGATATTTTGCGTCCTTCGACTAAGGCAATTCTATCCTAGTCGCTTATGTCAGACACCTGTTCCATTTTGCTGCATTGTATTCAATAGATATTTAAGGAAATGTAGACTTTCACGCTACACATCTGTAGCCCAAAATAAATCTGTTCATTTAATTTGACCCAAAAAAGAAAGGATTCTTAGTCAGTAAGGATTATGACATGCTATTTCGTCGTAACGTCACTTTTCCCTTCTGTATTAGTAGAGGATCGTTTTATGAATTAGCCACTGTAATTGGTTGAAAAATTTCAAAAACAATTTTGTACTGTTAGAAGGTACATTATTCATGAATTAGTACGTTCATATTTTCTGTTGATATTGAACAAGAAGTTGAAGTTCAAGACTGATTTTAATATTCCACATTTCCTTATCACTTGCGTCATTTGGCCCAAAGGCATTGTTCTAGATTTTACTTTCACGTCCTGTACGATGATTGTCGCACTGTCCCATGCCTATTTCTGGTGCAGAAGGTGACTTTTAACCTCTGATTTTTTTATATGCGTAAAAATCGTATGGTTTTATGTTGATAATAGTTTAGGAATTATTGGCTTCATTAATTATTAATTAATCATTAATTAATTAATTTGTTCAGGTAACGAATTTGATTACTTGCCACAATCGGGTCATTTCAAATATAAATACAAATTTGAAATTTTGTCAGGAAGACAGTTTATCCGTGTCTCTAATTTATATCCTTGAAAAAGGAACTTTTGTGTCATAACCCGTGAAATCAAATCGTGTTAAACACGAGGTTGATGCTAAT